TTGGATCGCTACGCGGAGCTGGGAGGAAACTTCCTCGATACGGCAGACATTTATGCGTCAGGCACGTCTGAAGAGTACATCGGCACCTGGCTGGAAAAGTGAGTATCTCGTGGTGTTTAGTCTGTACTGTCTTCTAGATACATTTGATGGCTCATTCTAAAACCTGAAAAGTGTAAGAATGGGGGAAAGAAGTTTGTAAAATCTGGATGTCTATCTTGTAAGTTAGTGTGCCAAAACGCAGTCAAGAGGAAAGTGTTAATGTTTTTGAGATGTCCTACATTTCAGGCAGGAGCGAGAGAAGTTTGTTGTGGCCACCAAAGTCCGGTTCAACACCGGGAAGGACATCAACCGCTGGGGGCTGAGCCGCCATCACATCATGCATTCCATAAACGACAGTCTGCGCAGGCTCCGTACAGACTATGTGGACCTGTACCAGGTGGGTAGAGTCGGTTGTTAGCTGCTCTTTCGTATTTTTGTTCCTTCAACATTTTCAAAGTATGATGCTTGCAGTTCGCCTTCCTGGTGGTTTTCGTACTTGTATATTATTCTCGCCATAAATGATCTGGTAAAAAAGAAGAAGGTGTATTTAAAGCCTCGGTCACAACCCACCGTACATGTGGGCAAACGTAGGGGATCCGTAAGTGGTGAGTACCGCCTCCGTACAGAATCGTACGAATTTTGGAGCACGCAGACACGCCGTAGAACTTTTCGTGCATGTAAAACTTTTTTGCGTGCGGTCTGCGGATTCACCACCTGTTTGTGCGAGTACGGGCGACGCGCGTGCCCCGTACGTAAGAAGCACGTGTGAGTACGGCCTCCTTACGGTAAAGTTGCAATCGCACAGAGATCTTACGTTGTAAGCACGTACAACTCACCAGTTGCGCAACGAACGATACGCGCAACCGCTCACGGCTAGACGTGGCGTGCAGACCACACTCTTACACCTTGTGCAACCGTGCGAGTGACGTGCGTCGACGCCACTCCTTCCCACGTTTTCAGAAAAACGTAGCAGACGTGGCCATGGCCTCCCAATAAAACGTACGGACAAAAAGCACGCACGGCGGGTCGTGACCGAGGCTTAATGGTAGAGCCCGTCTTATTGCAAACTCCATATTTTCAGATTTTTCAGATATTGGTCTCAGCATATGCATGAAACTATTGGTTATAGCTATCCCCTAATCATCCGTGTCACCACGTTAGATCCACATGTGGGACGAGGCCGTCCCTCTGGAAGAGACGCTGTCGGCTCTGAATGACCTGGTGCGCGCAGGGAAGGTGCGTTACGTGGGCGCCAGTAACGTCAAAGGCTGGCAGCTCCAGAAGATTGTTGATCTGAGCAAGTCCATGGGACTCAACAAGTGGATATCTCTTCAGGTGAGCCGTAGTCTCAAGTGGATGTTGCTATCGGGAAGTTATTTGCCATGCAGTGGCCATTAGGCATTGACTTAACGATTTGTTAACGAATAGTTTACCGACAGTGAGGAAAAATCACCAAAAATCGGTGAAGAACTAAGTCATGATGGTGTAATTTCAGGCGGAGTACAGCCTGCTGTGCCGCGGGATAGAGTGGGAGTTGACCGACGTGTGTAGGCGGGAGGGAATCGGCATCATCCCGTGGAGCCCGCTCAGAGGGTGCGTCGAATAGTTATTGCCTTTTTGTTTTAATATTTGTTGGAGACATTTTGACATGACTGATATGAAAAGTTAGAAATGAATTTCGTTTCATATATCCTTTGATCCTTTGGCAAAATCCATGGCTAAAGTAGAAAATGACGCCTGTTGCTTTAGGATTTCTTATTCATCTAGCACAGACTCTGTACATATCTATTGACAGAGGCCTGCTGACTGGAAAGTTCAAAAGAGAAGCTGATGCGCCCGAAGGATCCAGGATCTCACACGCCACAAAGACCGGGAGGGTCTTCGAAGCGGCCCCGGATTTCGAGAAGGCGAAGAAAGATGACAAGACCTGGGACATCCTTGATGTCATGAAGAAAGTTGCTGAGGAGAATGGTGAGGTTAACATCTGATAATGGTGATCTCTTTGCTGACAAGGGGGAGACACTGTAGAATTACCGGTAGTGTATCACTTTCATCACATGCACGATTAGAAAACAAAGACCAATTACACATGTTGCGAGTGTTGCAATCAGCATAATCTTCCGTTAGTTTGCCTTGTCTATGGCCCGACCTATGTCTTTATATTTATTATATCATGGGCTAGAAAGGAGATTTTTTTTCTAAATGTAATGCTGATCATGATTATCGCTTTCAGGTAAGACTGTGGCGCAGGTTGCGCTACGCTGGCTGCTGCAGAAGGACGTGGTGTCGTCTGTCATCATCGGCGCGAAAACCCTGCAGCAGCTGGAGGACAACATGGGCGCCTCCACTGGCTGGGAGATCTCGGAGGAACAGGTAAGGGAGCGAGCAGAACTCTCTCAAAACGTTTGCATACTGCATTTAGTCAGGCTGCTACGTACATTTGTATACAAGGCAATATTAGTGTGACAGCGTTACACATAAGAGAACATTAGTGCCATTCCGCATAAGAGAACTTAAGTCACATTCCCATTTATTACATGTATCTTTAAGCTCACCATGTTACTCTTCCTTCAACTATCTCCCAGATGGCTGAGCTGGACACTGTCAGCCAGATGGACCCGTTCTACCCCTACAACATGATCAGTCGTGCAAACACTGACAGAGTGAGGAAGAGCATGTGTCAGTAAACACGCAGTACCTACCAACGTAACGGCAAAACCCAACAGGAATCAGCATCGTTTACTGTACAAGAATAGCGGCCTGTTAAGACATAATTGTCAGAGTCAAACTTCTCTTTATAGTCCACTTCAGTGCATCTAGTCCAGATACCTTTTTATTTCATACACACATCAGTATACTGATACCATGTCTTTCTCTTCTAACCAGATGTATTGCTAATTGATAATTATCTTTCGTGTAATGAGCAGATAGAAGTCCAACTTTCAGACATTTATTGGATTCAAAACCCCACATATTCATACATGTTTGTCACAGTAGGTTGTTGCCGACCCCTCTAGATATGGTATGTTCTGTATCCTTATGATTGTCAGGATCTAGTTGTCAGTTCTGGAAGACTAGCAAGACATGAACAGATGAAGAAAGATTAAACATACAGTTCAATACAAGCACCACACCAAATCCCACAGATGCCATATTATTGCTTTTAATGATCAGGACCAATACAGACATACTTTCTCTCCTCTGTGCATTTGAAATAAAAGCTTGTGAGGCAGGTACAACAGTTAACACCTTCTGCAAATTCAATGGCAAGTATATAGCCTAATATCTTATGCTCTGTAAAACAATCCCACTCAATTTGTATAATAAATCAATATGGAATAAACCACCACACTAGGGGTGACGGGACATCAGATATTTTTGTTTCAATAGTCATTTGTTCTGTATTATTACATGTATCCACCATTATCACCACTCTTCACCATCTTAGTCTTAGTCCTTTAATGCATTTCAATTTCTCAAGCTCCTCCTTGTTGTGGCCACCTCTATATATTAGCACCCAACTTAATGTTAAGTACAGCTGAAGTGAGCACATCGACTCCAGTTTCTCATTCTGTAGATTCCACATATTGAACTTGGTAGTATGAAGCATTCATTCCAGGTCTGTTATGCTTGTACAAGGTCAGGTTGCCAATAACATTGGTTATTCACGTTTCTGCTATGATAGACATTAATGAGACATTAATGCAGTAATGCGGGGCAGTGCATTATTTTGTAAAGTGAAACAATCCTTTGGATGATGTCTCCAACATTAACACTAAACACCACAGGAGCAATACTACTACATTTTTAGACGTCCAAGATTTCTGCGGAAATTTTATCAAATAAAAATAAACATCAGTATAGCTCATAAATAAATTCATTCAAGAAATTGTTGCCATGCGTGCTGACAGTAAACAGCAGCCGTGGCAAAAAACAAAGCAGTAAATGTGTTATTTTTACAACAGGGTAGTCCCCAGGAAGTTTTAGGGGCCACACACTCCCTCCCATGCCATTCATTTCTCTTATCATCAGCTGGACAGACACTGCCTTCCTTCACACCTTCTTTCTCTTCTGAGTTCAATCTGCCTTCCTTCCCACCAAAAATACTGGAGAAGCTCTTACATGATGTTTATCATGTTCTGTGAAAGCACTGCCATTTCATACATCTGATTAGATCCAGAATCACAGACTGCAAAAACAGGCACTTTGTGGTACAAACACAAAATAAATCTCACAGTGGTACAGAGACATGACTCAAAGTCATGAGTACATCAAAACAACATAAGGACATGGTCTGTACTCACAAAATTCACCAAAACATATTTTCAGACTCTTTAGCACTTGCCCCTGAACATCTTCATTGCAATAAGAACTTTGATTACATACACATATCATTAATGTATGTACTCCTATACCATACATGTTACATGTGTTGAGATATGCCTTGTCAAGTTAGGATATTTCAAAAAGGAATTTTCCAAGTCATGATGTTTACAAAGAAATGTTTGTAGTTGCTATAAAAAAATAACCAGAAAGTACATAAATACTGCTTGTTATTTGCAACATTTGCATTGCACAATCTTTCTTTTGCTATCTTTAAAAAAACCTATACTCCAGTCATAGAGTAATATTGACAGCACTGTATTCATTACAGTGAACACTGGGCAAGCAATAGGCCAATAAAAAGTTTCTTTTCTCACAGACCAAGCAAATGTATCCTTTATTTACACTTATTGCATTGCACACTAATGAGTAACAAGTACACAAATCCAACCTGTGGTCAAGCTACACACAGACCTAACTGCTCCTAACCAGTAAGTCATTACATTTGAGTGGTTTCTCTGTCAATGCGTTCAGAGAGGGCCTTTGCTTTTCAAGTTCATCAAACAGCCTGGTAGTGACCAATCAGCATGAAGAGTATGGATTACAGTGACTGAAATCTAGTAGCAGACTGGTTAGTATAGTGAGCCATCAAGCCCTGGTAGCCATTAGAATACAGAATCAGCACCAAGGACAGTACCAAAGGAAAGTAGTCAAAAATAGATTAAGGACCACAGACAGAGGCTGTCTTTGACTGCAAAGCTTCATAAAAAGAATGCAACTGGGAAGACAAGACAGATGACAAAACAGGACTGTTCTTTGTTTGGGCGTGGGGGGTGGAGCCAGTTGTGCAGATTGTAACTTCAGATGTTCACATATTTTCCTTTGTAGAGTAGACCTGTCTGGTTAATCTGCTGTGTTTATAGAGTTAACTGCACAGTCAAAACATATTATTACTGTCTGACTCACTTCAAGCAAACCAGGCAAAATGTCAAATCAAGCAGATGTAATCTGTCTGCGAAAACATTTGTACTGATGCTTTGTTCCCCTTCATTGACAGGCTCAAGTGGCATTTCTACTGCAAACAAAATAGAAAAATCCCCACTTCATTGACTATTGCACAATATATTAATGTAATAATGGGAGAGGTGAGTGAAAGACTTAGTTGCACTTTTCCCAGCAAAAATAACTTTCCTACACTGTACCATACATCTATCTCTATAACACCATGTAATATTTAGATCTCTATCATGTAATATTACAAAGTACAGTGACCCGGGTATATACAAAAGTTCACAATCATGACATTTTAGAACAGCTTTATGTGTATCTTTTCTGAAAATATCTACCCTTACTTTGAGAACCCTTCATCCAATTATTTACTATCCAAGATTATTCTTGAAAATTAGCCAAATCTACCTCTACTTTCCTCTTGCTATTTATCTTCAATACAAAATTTTTATCATGCATAACTAAAAATAACTTCCACTTAAAACAAATAAGCAAAAGTGAACTACACTAAAATTCCCTGCATAAAATGTTACTTTTCCAAAATGTAAAATAAAATGAATGCTAGCTCTTTTTCAACAGACAACTGCTACACATCTTATGACACAAAGGACAGTTTTTTAAAACCTCAAACCCTAGCCTACTATTGGTTTCCCATGTCATCCCACTGGCTTCATATTTGGCAACAAATCTGGGTGGTTTTGATCTTCACAGTGGTAGACATCCTTAATCTTTTCTAGGGGTTGACATTAAGAGTTCATTGGCTTCTAAAGGTTCAAACTATCCTCTTTCTTCCAGTTTAAGTACTAGATTGACATTGATTCTACATGCTGAAGAGCAGTGTGTTAATCCCAAAGGGATAGAGGTTAACCAAATGCTGACTATACAATATGTCAAGACAAGGAAGAGAAGGCAACACAGAGGCAAAATAAATAAATATGACAGAAACTATTACACATTAGAAATTACACACAATTCATACGAATTACATATTTAGGTGTTTGTAAAGATAGCTGCCCAACAAAACACTAAGTCCTGCTACATTAGGCAGATCTGATCCACAGCATTCCCAAAGCATTTGGGCTAGTCTGTAACATAGTTCTCCATTTCAATATATTTCTGTTGTCCTACAAAATCCCCATTTAACATTAATAACATTAAGACTAGCAACTACCCTATGGTTGAGTCCCTACAGGTGCCGATAGTCCACCTGTGCATGGCACTCTTTTGTTTGGACCCTTACTACACCTGCTTTTCCTAAAAAAATGTGTTTAAGTATTTCAGTCAGCCGAGACCATTGATTTTGTCCACAGCTGGTCTTATTCTGTTTTTGTTGGAGCTTCTTGGCTGTCACCATCCTTTTCATCTTTCTCTCGTCTTGGGAGAAAGTAGAGCGGCAACATCCCCAGGAGGCAGCCGACTGTCACACCAAAAACACGACCCTGCAGAAAATATGGGGACTTGTTGAGGACTAGAACAATGTAAACTGCAAGACTGCAATAACTTTTTAAAGTTATCATTAGGCCACACCAATTTAATTTCTTGGTTAACGGATTCGCCGCTTCATTTTTTTCTGATTTGCAAATAAAAATAAAAATCCAAAATCAACTGCAAAATGCTCATATTTTGTCCTGAACAGTTGAAAACAGTCCTTTTCATCCTAGTTGTTAGTTATTCCATCTTTCAATGCAATGGTATCATTAAAAGTTCAAAATTCATTGTTTAAATTTTGAACCAGCCTGGTGTGTTGACTTCATGGCTCCTATCATACCAGTTTGGGCCATAATACGATGCCTAGGCCTGTTTTTATTTTTATTTTTTTTTCACCCACCCGCTCCATTATTTTCGTAGAAAAATCCGTTAACCAAGAAATTAAATTGGTGTGGCCTTATGCATCTCAAACTGCAAGACTGCAATAACTTTTTAAAGTTATCATTATGCATCTCAAGTGAATACAGGGGTCTCTCCAGTCTAACTTGTAATCTGTCCTGTCAGTTTGATGGATGGAGAAGAGCCCTGTGTCAAGCAGGTGCCGCAGGTGTGTGGAATCTACTGGGTCAAGGGGCATGCTCCACTGGGAAGTTTCTTTCTGCAGTCAACTTGAACTTTATTCATTCAAGCAACTTTGCGGTAGTAACACGATCGTAACATTCTGAAATGTGTTGATTTTACAAAGTAAGACGATACATTAGTAATTGCAGAGTAATAACACAAGTAGATGAACAGAACATGTGCACTGACACGCAAGACCAGCTGTGAATCAGTCAGGGTGAGTAGCCATTAACAGCAGGAATAAACCTGATTTTTACATTCAGATTATAATAACACCATGAAGAATATTGAAAATGTACCAGATTTGATGCCCATTTTGAAGAAGACATGTCCAGTTGTTGAGGAGTTAGCTCTGGTGAGGGGAGCCCCACTTTTAATGCAAGCACTTCAACATAGCTCGCTGCTCTGTAAAATAAAAGCACATAATACTTTGAAGTAAACCTTGCAGATTGATGCATCTGGGACACAAAACCTCTGCCTGAGCTCAGCACATACATCACGTAAATCTGGTTTATCGTCAGTTGTTCTTCACCTTGCAGGGGTGAGACGTGCTTGCACTTCAGATGTGGAGGTTTGACAGCGCAGTTCTTGCCAGCTATCACTGTATCAGCTCCCACTGTCTTAGCTTGTCTTATCAATAATTCAATAAACCGGTAAATTGCTCAGAGCAGCTTTAAAGCTATCTGGGTGCAGTAGGAGTGATGAAGACACTGTTCACTCGTGGGTCAGAAAGTAACTATCTTCACCACTTGTTTGCCAAGTTATAACTGATTTCATTTTCTTAGCATTCTTGATTCCATGTTCTTTGAAACAAGCCACCTTCCAGGCAAAATTTAAGTACTGTACACTATAAATGATATAATTCATGATACCTGCCTTGAATTACTGTAGTCAGTACAATACTTTGCCTTCACATTAATTCCGATATATCTACTTCAGGCCACACCAATTTAATATGTTGGTTCTCGGATTTTCCTCTTCATTTTTTTCTGATTTGCAAAAAAAGAAAAAAGATTCTGGTTCTGAATCAACTCAAATATGCTCATATTTTGCCCCCAACAGTTTAGGAAAGTCATTTTCTTGTTACAGTTTTTCCATCTATCAATGCAGTGGTTTTATTAAAAGTTCAAAATTCATTGTATGAATATTAACCCAGCCCTTTGTGTTAACTTCATGGCTCCTATTGTAGCATTTGGGGCTATAATAGTATGCCTAGACCTGTTTTTATTTTTATTTTTCGCCCTGTCGCTTCGTATTTGTTCTGAAAAAATCCAAGAACCAACAAATTAAATTGGTGTGGCCTCACAAGATAAAGTAACTTACCCCAGTCCAAATAGGTCTGATAACAAGTTGCCCAATCCAGCAGCTAGAAAAGAGGAAATGCATGAATCAGCTTACATGTACAGTGCACCATATCAGCCCCTTAATCTACATCAGGCTGAAAGCTTTTACAGTCCACAAACATGGACTTTAGTATGCTGGAAGGACTTTTACAAGCAAGGAAATCAGCCTTTGCAATACTAGCCTAAAGAAGGATTGGCTGGAAGAAAGATAACTACTGCCCTACGTAATAGCAACAGCAATTCTTACCAGCTAATGTTGAGATGCCTAAAGCGGTTCCTATTGTCACATCTATATAATCACCCTGAAATGGAAAAAAAATTCATTAAAATCAAGTTACCGCATATCATGGAAAGGTTACTCAACTCCAGGAGACAAGGACCCATAGCACATATCTTTTCCTTAACATTTCTTTATGAAATGGTACCTCATTTCAGTTATTTCATTCATCATACATACCGGTACTCTGACAAATCCTCTGACATTTTCTCTTCTGTATCACTCACAAATACAGCAGCCTACCAGGAAACAAGGATCTTCAATGTTTTTAAAACAGCACTATAAATATTAATCTACCATAGAGCCTAACCATAAAAATATACCCAAGTTGAAGCTTTCATCGTTACTATATAGTCTGTTTCTTTATTGGGAAATGTTACATTACATTACATTACATTACGCTGACTTTCAGGCAGTGTGGCTGATAATTTAATTAGTCTACTACAGTAATAATAACATGCAATGGAAAATGAACAACATGGCAGTCCCAGTTATTACAATGGTATGAAAATATTCTTGCCTTGGAAAATGATATAACCCACAAAACTATTTACTCCTAAAAGCAATAACTGCTTCAGCAGAAAGCAGCTGGAGACAAACTATAAGCATCTTCCTTTATAATTGTGTTATCAATAAAGGGTATCATATCAAGAAATTTCCTGAAGCATTCTTATAGCAGGCTGTCAAGTGCAGTTTGTAGAAACCAATGTATTACAACAAGAAATTTAAAGCAAGAAAAATGGTGTATTTCATCCATGTGCATCTAGGAGCTGTGCATATATACATTAACAATCATGTATCATCAACCTGCAATTATATAGTACCTTCAAGTTTGAGATGCATTAATTTCATTCAGTTTGAAAGAAAAATGATAAAGGTTTTGTATTGAAGTCAATTCCTTGGAGTGCACATTCCCATTATAAGAAGAAAAAAAACGCAAATCGTGTGCAGATTGATCCATGCATGGACAACTGGGTTTTCAGGGATTCAACTTTCTTGATAAAATACAAAGAGCCTAGGACTCTGCTGTTTTAAACATACATCATCCAAACTGAAAGGGAATCTACATTTAAGCAATTTAAAGGTTAACAGCTATTCTTTTACAGATAAGCCTCTCACTTCAAGAATAGATAATATCCATGCACAAATCACAATCAAAAGATACCTTCATGCAAATGTTCATATATTGTGATGTATGCAAATACAAATGAAAATATCTATGATACTGAATACAATAAGAACCATACATACTGCAACTAACATAACAGCATTGTCCAGAAAGCCAAAGCCTATGAACGGCAAGATATTGTGTGTGGCAACTGGAAGGAATAGAAAAACATACATACATTCAGAACTCATATCAACACTTGTTAGTTTCATGTCAAAGCAATCCTTACAATACATAAAGCACATGCATGTATGATTTCTGTTGTGGTGTTGTCATCATTATCAACAAAAAGATAATGAAATGGTAATGGGTTCATCAAGCAGAAGAGTCACTTATCTACTTATACTAGGAAGTAAGTGACCTTGCTCAGAGGAGAAATCCCTGTTTGATTGTTACAGTTCTGACTTTTGTGTGAGCTTGAGGCTGTGAGCAAGTCAATGTTATTGGTCTGACATTTGGACAGACTTACCAAGCCATAACTGTCTGGATGTTGGTCTAATAGATGGATTCCCTGCAAGAGAAATGACATACAGTAACACTACAAACAAAATTTAACATTTCAACTTTTCAAGGTATAAAACTTAAAACAAAATTCAGAAAAAACATTTTTAACATAATAAAACATATTAAAGATCTCAGGAAAGGGTTACATGTATCATGATCATATCTTCCATATTGCATTTATTCATGAATGTTTCTCTCCTCTGACCTTTTTAAATGGAATAGCTCATGTTAGCCTGGGAAACATGAAACTTGGTTATTTGCAAGTACTGACAATTCAGCACTGTACACACACACAGAGTCTAGCTCACAAACACTCGAGCTCACTATCCACTTTAGCATCTAGTTTTTCCCTGTAGTGTGAAGGTTGGGCATGCTTGCTACTTTGGACATCGATGTTTGGTGGCAGACCTCCAGCTGCTTCTGTCCTGCAGGTTTACATTATAAAGGTTGAGATGGATCCTTTCCTGGTCTTTCCCAGATTCTGTCCTTCCATGGTCATGTAAACATGCTGTCATGGCTGTATTTGTGCTATCAGTATCAAAGGCACCCTTACAGTTTCCAGTGGTCCGGTTCATGGCAGTGTTAAACACATGATATATCTCCTTTCTGGAATGGAAAATTACGGGGTGGCTGCCATGGACAGTGCAGACCAATTTGGTCAAAAGAAATTCAATTTCAAGCTCAAGAGACTGTGAAGGTGGCCACAGAAAGATAATTAATGTTACAAGTTTTGTTTCCTTGGTTACTCAAATCCTGATGGGTCGTGACATTACTTTAGTAATTACCAAAAATATTTTCCAAGTCCAATTTGTTTTAGACCTTTTGCATGGAGACTTGCAAATTGCTTTTACCTTAAGTGAAGCCATATTCATTTACCAAAACAATGGTGTAGCTTTTAGTACTAATGACATGTTAACTGTTACAATTACGCAAATGAAAAGGCTAATTAACCCCTTTGACCAACTGAATACACATGTACTATACTGGTATTCCTGGGTATATTACTCAGGGCCAGCTTTGTGACTTTGGAAAAAAAGACCAACATGGGTAAGTGACCATACGCATCTAGTCTGTCTGAAATAACAACGCCCCAAATCGGAAAACCACAAACCTAATCATGATCCACACATAAACAACTGAGTCGAGTATCACGTACCGTTATGTTTGCGGTCCGCAATGGCGTCATATACTACTATATGTTCGAGCTGAAATTAATTGCACGGTTCCTGGACATGAATGTCCCTATTCTCAACAATTCTACAGAATAATAATAATTAAATCTAGTGGACAGATAAGGAATCGTAGAGCAACAGATATGGATACCTTGGCCCTCTTGTGATTCAAACTTCTGCAACTCTAGAAGCAGCGTCTGTCGCTCCATCTTCCGCAGCGTGTATACAAATTCCTTCGCGCCTTCTGGTTTGTCCAATGTGTACTCATATACAGTCCTGTGTTGGACAAAAGCTGGCAGATACGCTGTTCCCGATCGAAGCAGTATATGATCGTGACACAAGGATCGGACAACGGTAGAGGTGACAGCCTGCGAAAATCTTGTCATGACAGCCGCCATTTTGGGTCCAACTGTAAACATGGTATGTAAATTCGCTTAATCGCATTCAGTTCCCCCCGGTCGCACTGTCTCAACCTAATCCATTTAAAACAACATTGACTTAATACTATATACTCACATAAATTATTCACAGAAATTATATATCGGTAATCAATCACGTTTGACTCAACAGATTAACTTAAGCTGTGAGCAACATTCGGATTCGGATGATTTGCAGAACAGACGGCTACATTTACCGTCAGGAGGCATATACACGAGCGCCGTGTGGCGACTTCAGATAAATTACAGAGAGTACCGTGGGGAAAAGTGTAATGCGGTGCACGTGTCCCAGAGGGCGTAGGTGTATACTTAAAAGCACATAAATCATTTGCTTTCCCCGAAAATTTCAAAGAGGCGTCCGTCAGCAGTTATTCAGTACAATTGGGCTCTTTGCTAATTGCCTTGTGGATTTTTAGAGGGCGAAGTAAACTTTTCGACTCTTCTTTAATATGGTACGTCACTCTTCACTGGAGCAACACGACCTAAATAGTCGTGTAGTAGTATGTATGTTATTTTCGACGACCTTTTTTCCGTTTCTTATCTTATCTTATGCCTATACATATATTCTAGCATTTCTGCTTATTCCATTCGTGACAAGGATGACCAAAGAAGAAGGATTTAAGAAATTCAACATTCGCACGAAATTGAAGAGCCAAACAAAGGTAGATACAACTTGGTGACGTCGCCACTCCATGATTTGTTCACCGATTAATGATTATATAAGTCGGTCTGTGGGGTTTGATTAGTAGCCCTGGTAATTCTGGCTCCTTCATGTCTTTCCCAGGGGCTCTCATTACGTCTTAGAGAGCGGATAAAAAGTGACGACTGAAACCGGAGCACATTCATCGTAATTTCTTGACTTAAACTGTGCCGTGTCACGCAGATTTTTAACTACTGTTCAAATAATCCACGCCACGTCGCTATTTTCATAAATCTGCAGTGTACATCAAATTTGCAGTTCTATGAGCTATTATTGGGTAACATCTTACGGGCACTGCAATGATTTTGCGTTCGCAAGGTTCGGTAACGGTGCCGATACGACTTAGCAAAAAATATGCTGATTTGTATTCAATGAAACGACCGAGACGATAAATATTGATCAGTTCAATATTTTCACTTTATCTGTACAACATCTCGGCATTTTGACGTGACATGCATATGCCCTGTCTCTTCTGATAATTCACTGTAACAACTTTCATTTGTCTAACTTTTATCATTGACCGTATGGTAGCTACAAAATAGTACCCATTACTTTTTTACGGACCAATATCAATGTTAGGGATACAGTTTGTCATTTCGTTCATACCCAATTTTGCTTCTCAGCTTTGTTCAAGTTCTTCATTTCTCTTCCTACAAACTATTCTGATCCGCTCTTTGCTTACTCATCCTCCTTCGCAGGGCTAAAATCCCCCGGTTCCTTCGGGTTTTAAAACCCGAAGGAACCGGAGGATTTTAGCCCTGCGAAGGAGGATGTGCTTACTCAGTTTTTGAACATATATTTGCCCTGGTAGAAGGAGCTGTGGGGAAGCGACAACGGTGACTTTGACGCAGGAGAAAACTTTGCAAGAAACAGTTGACCAAGAAAGGAGACAAAACATGTTTCAATGTGACGATAAACTGCATGACTTTATTCACAACTCGTGGACACAAAATGCCCAAAAATACCTTAGAAATTTACACAAAACGTAATGGAAAATTAAATATCCCGGCAAGTAAAACAAAAAAATTGCAGTATGTACAAAAATAAGAACATTCTTGTATCAACCACAAGTAGCGCGCCCGTGTACACAATAAATACATATTGAATAAATTAGGAATACAGCGTTAGAAAAAAAAAGGAGCACACATTCCTCAAAGATATGTCGCAAACACAAAACTTAGAATTACTGTTCAATTTCTTGAACATGCGTATAAATCTAAAGCCTCACACTTCTAGAGGTATTCAATAGTTTCTATGTTCCTAAAGTCTGACTCGTCACTCTGGTTCTAAACTTTGTTCACGTAAATTCAGCCTTACAATCACTGCAGCCCGACACAGCTTTTTATTTATGCAAGAATGCAGTTACCGCATTGAAGGGTAACTAAGGCTGTATACGTGGCTATATAATACTCTTGTGTACAGTCATTGTCACTGTATAATAGGTTCACTTTTTAGAATAATTAGATTGGAATCTTTTTTTAAAAATTCTATACTTGTCCATTCCTTTATCAATGAATCAGGGCTATGTGGTCATGGCAGTGTGTTGTGGTAAAAAAAAAGTTCGAATTTACTTCCAAACTTTTGTTCGGTCGCTCACAGGTCACTCATGTAGAAGGACTTTTGGATCAGCAAGATTTAGTAATAGCATGATCATATCACCATCAACAATGAGCAGTGTATAGAACAGATGGGATGAGAGAAGTAAGAAAAAAGGCAGTTGAGGTGTTTACTGACCCACAAACACAGCCACTGCCACTAAACAAAACTGTAACTCTCAGCCCACCACATTTGATCGCTCATTTTGATGTAACGTTACCCAAACGTTGTGGAAGAATCCTTTGTGTTTTCCTCTTCGGGTTATCAAAAGAGCATTAATGACCATATCACCACACAGACATCACCATTTCCACATTACAAAGGACTAACCAGATAGCCCTGTTCGTTAAGGACAAGCAATCCGTACCTTCTTGTCTCGTATGTGTTCATACATCTCTCTACAATTCAACTGGAATAAGCTTATAAGTCTATACATACGTATGTGATACAGGTCATCATCACACAATTTCTAACACTACAATAGAACAATTTTTCACACGATTTTGTTTGACACCAGCAGACGTTATTCAAGCACAAACATTAATATACCTATATAATCCATACAGGTCATCTTCAGCGAATAGCTGATAATTTTATAGTTTCCACTAAATGGCTACTCTGCATATAAAATCTAGGTAATGCTGATAGTTGGTACGGTGCATACTGTGTGTAGCACCGCCGAAATGCATTGTGAATATAGTAAAGAAGTTGGCGTTGTTTTTATGTCCTTTTCTCTGTCGACGTCCATGTTTTGCCAGTCTATTTATAAAAGGTTATGAGAAATAGGAAAGGACAAATAGGAGTTAAGTGATAGAATAACACATGTAAAAGGAAGGTGGAAGAATTTCCATATCTAGTACCGTTAAAGTAAGGGAGAAGCCAAAATTGGACTTTTTCAGATTTTTCTTATGGCTTTACTTGGACGTGATTATGTCGAAACAAACCGTTCCCATGTCGAAGTGTGGTTATATATATGTCCCTAAGGAATTTCAAGCCAAACGTATTTAATAGCACGACTGTGTGTGCATACGTGGTCGGGACCAGGCCCCCTTAATTTGTTGCTATTGAGCATGTTGTTCACAACAAGGTCTCTCCAGCGTTTGAACTCTCTCTTCAGACAAGTGGGAACTCGTGTTAATAGACACGAAGTCGAAGTATATGTATTACACGGTCAACTGGTCTATTTTGTCACATTGACAACCCCGGCCCTGGTAACAGGCCTTTCGAAACGTCATGTTACTAAATTTGGACCTGACTCCCACTTTTGCCGGACTGAATGTAGCCAAAGACCGTGTATGGTCGTCACTCTCCACTCCATCAATAACAACATGCGCCATTTCACAGCCGACATGTGCCCTCGACCCCTGCGTCCTTTACAAATGTGCTACAAATGTGCTTTCGTTTGTTCAGGACCCCGAAAATCTGCGAGACAATCTTTTCGTCCACGGTGGTAGTACACAGGCCCTGCCGGTTTGCCCCCCACAAAACGCGCTCCACGGGTTATTGAACACGTTTAAAGTACCAAACATTTCGTGTGTAGTGGTACCATTTGGGTTCAAGAACCGGTAATATTATATGTATGTTTATATAACACACTTCCCATAACGCATGGCAACACTCTTCATGCGTGTCTAGGCCGAGAGATTTGCCAAACTTCAATGGAAAGACTGCGACAAGAGAATTTCGCTGGCTTAAAAACAGGCCTTGGAGCTATAACGTTAGCAGCAGTTAACCCGAAGTCTGCACATTACAGCGATGGCGCGCTCAAAACATCGAACCTCTGTCACACTGAAAAAAGGGCTAAAGCGTTTTTGAGTAAAACCCTTCTTTCATTTGACAAAGAGAGATGAAAGTGGCGACAAGAGCTGGAATATTGCAGACTCCGGTAGTGAAGAACCTGTCGCGCCCTTCCCTGTTCACTTCATGATGCTCCATCAAATTCAAAGAAATTTCGATGCATTTGTAAGAGACAATCTCTCGTGAAAGATGGAGCAATAAAAATGAATAAAGGTCTGGTGCAGTGAGAAGTTTGAAGAAAGGCACTTGATGGTATTTGTGGTGCCCCAACGGCCAACCAGACTAAGGCACAGATTGGATGAAAGTCGTTAGATATATTTTGACAATGTTGGCAGTTTTGGCAGATTAGGTGCGGTGCATAGTTTATTCATACCTGGACTTTGTCAGGAAATTAAGTCCATTCTTAAAATGACACATAAATTCTCTCTTTCTGACATAGAACACTGTTATAGATATATCTATATTAATGGCATCACTGGAAATTCCTAAAGTAGCCAAGTCAAAATCACATCATGAAATCTTCACATCAGTTCTGACACAACTTGTTGCCATAATAAAGACAACAGGTGTTCCTAAAAATTGAGCATGTCGGGGTCAGATTCAAGTCACCAAGTCCTACCTCGTCATTTCTCGGGGTCGAGACTCCGTCTCCCGACAAACGTTGTCAGAATTTTCCCAGTCCTCCACCAATCCTCCACCTGGAAGATATAACTGTCTTCCACTCAGCAGCGGCACGTAGCGATCCAGACGCGAAGCGCATCCTTACTAGGTTCCCCGCCTCACACGAGGGCGGGACGTCTGAACTGTTCGGATGTTCACAGAACGTCGAGTCTCAGTTCTTCTGCTTCTTCCCTCTTTTCTGAGCTCGTGACATTCCGTCC